TCTTTCAGTAGTCTGAAGGCATGAGAGAGAACTCAGGTCTTTCACTGCTGAAGGGAGCTTCATAATACAGCTGTTCCGTGCCTCTGTCCACTTCTGGTTGGTAGACTTACTGTCCCCACCTTTTGACTGCAGGGTGGGCAGTGCTGGGAGGGATATTCACTGCGATTTTGCTATGGACATGGGTTTTAGTTTCTCCTGCATACACTCCAGTGGTCAAGTGTGAAATGTAGAAGATTCATGTGCAGCCCTGGTGTCGGCTCTACTGACTAGCATGTGTGAGCACTGTGTTAGCTTCTCATTGCTGTCACCAAATACCAGACAAGGAACGTGGGAGGAAGATTTTGGTTCACAGTTTGCAGGAGCAGTCTATCGTTGTGAGAACATGGGATGACTGATGACACTGAACAAAATGAACGGGAAGCAAGGCCAGATCATAAAACCCCCAAGTCTGCCCCCATGACCCACCTCCTCCGGGAAAGCTGTACTCCCTGAAAGTCCCACAGCCTTCCCAAACAGCACTGTCAACCAAGGACTTGGAAATGCTATGTACAGGATTTAGCCAAGCACACAAGAGGCTGAGACAGGTGGATTACTACTAGTTCAATACCAGCCTGAGCTAGAGGAGGGGGGGAAGAAGGGAGAGGGGTAGGAGAGAGAGAGAAAGAGGAGAGGAGGGAGAGAGAGAGAGAGAGAGAGAGAGAGAGAGAGAGAGAGAGAGAGAGAGAGAGAGAGAGAGAGAGAGAGAGAGAGAGAGAGAGATTGGTCTAGATAGAATGGAGAAGACCCTGTCACACACACTTGGCATTTGTCACTGGCTTTTTTGTTCAGAAGCCTCTACTTTGTACCAAGCACGTGGCCTTCCCACCTGATTCAGCTATAGCAGAGGATGCGTCAGGTCAATCCCACTTAGTGCTCCCCTCATAAGGACAGGCCCCCAGTCTTCCTGGGCTCTTGGGGCCCTGGGTGAAGCACCTTCCTCTGTGCTCCTGCTGAGCCTCCTTTACAGGGCTAGCACCAGTGTCTCCCTCACAGTCCTTGGACTCAGACATGCTTTGGGGCAGGGGGAGATGGCTCAATCTGTCTGATGTGTGCCACACAGGTGTGAGGGCCTGAATTCCATCCCCAACCTAGAGGAAAACACTTAGCTTGATAGTGTGCACGTGTAATCCCAGATCTGGGAAGATGGAGATGGGAGGATCCCTGGGGTCCACTGGACACATAGCCTTGCCTACTTTATGAGCCCCACAAAAGTAGAAGGCCATTCCATTCAGAGGAGCATCAGACATTGGCCTCTACCCTTCACATATATGTATACGGGGGGGCAGAAGACAGAAAGGGAGAGAGCATTGCTTTTGACTGTTGGCGAACTCTTGATTTCTAGTCACTGCATAACAATTTCAGAATAGCCAGACACACTGGGAAACACGAGCGTTGATAGCAGAAAGACTGTGAGAGAGGAATGCAGATGGTGTGTGCCCCAAGTGAGCTTGTTAACCAGATTGGCAATGACTGTCTATCCCTCCTTCTGGCTGCAGAGATGCCTCATTGGGTTGGAATAGCCTCTTTTTCTACTTTACTCCTATCAAAGCCTCCAGGAAGCCAAAATCATGCAGCCCCATACGGTAGCTCTTTACTGCACACCGATTAGCTGCAGAATGCCTTGTTAGTGGTAAGTCGCTATCTCCGGTGCACTGCTATAGAACCCAGCCTAGAAGTTCAGATCTTCTGGAAGCTGCCTCTGATTGCTGCCTCTACTACTCTTCCCCTCCCTGTAGAGCCAGCCCTGTCCAGCACCCAGGTGGTCTTCACCATGTACATAGGAGTCTAGTTCGCTGTTCTGAAGTTCTGAAGGGGCCAACTTTTTACTGCTATAGTGTTCACTGGACCCACAAGGCCAGGTGCCCACCTTCACGTCCCTGTTTCTGGTGCCCTACATGAGACCTTAATGACCGTTTATAGAGCTGTGAATGCACATACACTTTCCTGTCTCCTAGCAAGGATCTGTAGCATGGATGGATGGATGGATGAATGGATGGGGAAATGAACAAGTGAAGCCGCAGTTGGCATGAGAGAGTGAGGCAGCCTGCATTGCTGGTAGCCTGGGCTATGGGTGAACAAAAGAGAAGACGTCCATCTAGCTTCCTGGTCGCCCACTGACCATCGTACCTGTGGGCGAGAAGAGGCTGGTTCCCGGCACTTGCATTCCCATTGTGCCCCGCAAGCAGCTGGGCCAAGAGGTGCTGCCGTAGCTAAGCTGTGGGTGTGACCCAGTGACTCAACCTCACTGCAGTGCATGGCACTGTTGCCCTCGGCAACCCTCTTACCTCGCCTCCCTTGCATCCTCAGAACTGCTCGGGAAGGAAGGGCAGGAGTCACTGTCCCCATTTCCTATATGGGTCAGGTGGAGGGAGCTTCAAGGCGTCCATGAAGTCCCCCACTGGGACCAGCCTCCCCCCATGCTTTCTGTGACAACACCTCTGATCAATTGTTCCCTTCAAGCTGTCTGTATGGTTCTCTAGGCTATTTTTACTATTCCTGGACCTTTTGGCCACTAGAACAGACTCCTGAGGGGATGCCAGAGCATCGTGAAGGGGAGGGGCAGGTACCTGTGGGCCCTTTGGTTCTGTGCAGAGTTGAGCTAGGCATGTGAGTGGGAGGGCCCTGAGGAAGACAGCTGCTGTCACATCAGCCCCGCCGCGCAGCCTCGAGGGAAGCTCCCACTGTCTGAACCTTGCAGCCACTCCTGCCCTGCTCCAGAATGGACGCAGGGTGACCATTCATCCCTGAAGCCCAGCTTCTCCAGGCCTTGTCTGAAAACTGCCGTGGTGTGCGGGGGGAGGGAGGCACCTCTCCCTGGGAGCTTACAGGGATTCAGTCATCTCTCCTGAGCTCCTTCATTCTGTTAGCACAGGTGAGCAGGGAGGGAGTGGATAGGACCAGGGCCTGTGCCCACAGCCCGATCGGGCTTCAGATCTGGCCCGTCTGGTTTCACAACTTCAAATTTAACTTTTTAGGAAGGTAAGAATGAATGAGAAAGGAAACTGTAGTTGTTCTGAAGCACCAGGTGCAAGGATACAGTGGCTGCCCAAGGAGAAGATGGAAGCTGGGAAAGCCAGAATCTGAACGTTTAGCCTTGCAGGCAGGCTTCCCGCCTCCCCAGGCCGATGTAGGTATGGTGCTGAGCCCGCCACCGCCATCGCACATACCCAAGATGATGAACTCAGAACAGGGATGAGTTCTTTCAGCTCAGTTTAAGGTTCCTATCCGTGACAGGGCCTCATTGCTGTGGTTTGTGGGAAGTAGCACGTCTGAGCATGTCTCAAAGCAAAACTGCTCAGCTAGGGGACTCAGAGAAGGCCTGGTGGTTAAGAGCACTTACTGCTCTTGCAGAAGATCCGAGTTCAGTTCCCCAACCCCACTGAGGCTGCTTGTAACTGCCTGTCACTAACTATAACTTCGGTGAGTCCAGTGCCCTCTTCTGGACTCCACATGTACACACACACACACACACACACACACACACACACACATGCGCACGCGCTAATAACAACAACAAAAACCTGCTTAACTCATGACTGGAAAGACAGGGAGGGACTCCTACATCCCCTTAAGGACAAGCTCCTAACATCCTGAAGGCTCTAAGCTTCCCAAAGGCTCCAACATCTTCCAGGGGTGCCTCATTGGAGACCAAGCTTTGAGCACATGGGCCTCTATGGATATTAAAGGTCAAACTGTAGCCACCAAATTCAAGAGGCAGAGAAATTCTCACTTGTCTTCTGATTCAGCTGCATTCTGGTCTGGGTGTCCTTGTGTATTGCCTGTCGTAATGAGTGGTTATCTAATTGTGAACTCGGTTGGATTTACAATCACCAAGGAAACACACCTCTGGGTGTGTTGATGAGGGTATTTCCAGAAAGGCTTAACAGAAGAGGGAGGAGCCATTCTGAATATAGGTGGCACTGTCCCATGAACTGGGTAAAAGAGAGAAGGCAAGCTGAGCAACTAGCTGGCTTGCCCACCTCCGCTGGACCACCAGGAGAGCCAAAACAAACGCTTCTCCCTTAGGTTGCATTTGTCAGCGTTTTATCACAGCAAGGAGAAAAGCATAATAGTTGATATAACTCCCCTGCTGTCTAGTCACCTAGGAGGCTTCACGTATGCTGAATTGAAACTCTCTTCGTTACAATGTTTATGGGCTGTGAGAAGTACCCATTCACTCCTGAGGACTTAAATAAAAGTACAGTTAACCAGCAAGAACACAGTGTGAGTTTTCCCGTGCCCGTGTGTCTCTCACCTGTTGGTTCTGTCGGTGACAGCTATCCTGATGGATGGGCAGCTGTCATATGCAAGCTTTGTATGCACTGTAAAGGCAAAGGACCGTGGCCGTTAGTGTGGACTGCACTTCCATTTGATGCACCGTGAGTCTGCGCAGTCATGCCGTTACCCTTAGTAACAGCATCCAGACCACAGAACTATGCTACCCATGGCTTAGTGCAGGCATGAACTATGTATAGTATTCAGAGAATCCAAGAGCAAAGGTGGCAATGGCCCTGGAGAATGGCCCTCACGGGGAATGAGTGTGTGTGTGTGTGTGTGTGTGTGTGTGTGTGTGTGTGTGTGTGTGTGGGTGGTTCTTGAGACAGAGCCTCTAGCCAAGGCTAGCCTCAAACTCATTTTATAGCTAAAGATGACATTAGACTTCTGATGATCCTCCTGCCTCCACCTCTCAAGAGCCGAAATTATAAGTGTATACCACCACTCCTGGTTTATCTGGTGCAGGGGTAGAACCCACAGCTTCATGTATGCTAGAAGCCCTTTCTTTTAACTGGGCCACATCCTCAGCCTGGACACTGGTGTTTTAAGAGGTCACAACCTGTCCCAAGGGTGTGTCCTTTTATCATTCTTTCTGAGCACGGTGCCTCCCATGGTTGGTTGCTGGGCTGAAGCTGCCCCATGTGTCCTGGGTCCCCTAGCTGATGACGGCTTCCCTGTGGTTGTAGGACTTCTGCCATGGCCAGGTGATGTGGCCTCCCCTGAGCGCCTTGCAGGTGAAGCTGGCAGAGCCTGGGCAGTCCTGCAAGCAAGTGTGCCAGGAGAACCAGCTCATCTGTGAGCCTTCCTTCTTCCAGCACCTCAACAAGGAAAAGGATCTGCTCAAGTGAGTACCTCACAGGGGAGGAGGCAGCGGGGCCTCAGCACTTGTGTCATAGAGCTGGGTTCACAGGTGCCTGGACTTGCTTTCCTGGCTGTGGGCTTCAGGGAAACAATGTAGGGGGAAGGGGAACAGGTTGCAGCCCAGGAAGAGCTCACCGCTCACACTCACGTGTGTACACATGTATGTGTGTATGACCTGGGCTTGTGTGATATATGTATGTAGGATGTATGTGTGCATGCATGTATTTATGCACGGCCGTGTGGGTTTGCACATACGACGACATGCATGTGGAGGTCAGAGTACAACCGCAGTCATTCCTCACCGTCTGCCTTGTTGGAAGCAGGCTCTTCTGTGGTTCTCCACCGCGGGCCTGTGTGCTTCCAGGGAATGTCCTGTGTCTGCCTCCCATCTCCAAGTAGGAGGGCTGGGGTTAGAGGCATCTGCCACCACACCCAGCTTCATTCAAATGGGTCTGGCCAGTTCCCTGTTACTTCAGTTTTCTCACCTGCAGAATAAGAAGATTCTCGAGTGCACTAAATTACTTCTTGGCTACAGCAAAACACCTGACAAACCATCTTAAAGCAGGTGTGTTCAGGCTCAGCTCAAAGGTGCAGTCCTTGGTCAATGGTCACACTTTGTTCACAGCCAGGAAGCAGAAAGACGAGAAGGCTGGAATCCACCTGCCTCTCCCTTTTTTTCCATCCAGGACCCCAGCCCATGGAGTGCTGCCATACGTATTTATCTAGGCTAGGTCTTCCTTTCTCAACTCGCCCAACCAAGAAACTCTGCCGCATGTGCCCACAGGCTTGTCTCCTAGGTGATGCCGATTGACAGCCAACATGAACTGTGACATTGAGATAGCGACATTTTTAATGTAGCCAGGTTGTCCCTGAACTCACTATAGTTGAGGATGACTATGACCTCCTGACCCTACTGCACGAGCACGCGTGTGTACAAACACACACACACTTTAAATATTTAAACATAAATAATTTAATGTTTTAATTTAAGCATTTAATGCCTAGAATCCCAGGAAGTGCCGGTGTCCCCTTCGGCAAGCCCAGTGCGTGTATTCATGTGAAGCCAGGTCGCTAATATGGCTGCCTCTTACAGTTAATTGCTGTCTGGTAAACAGTTAAGTTGGAAATGATTCCTAACATACAGAGGCACAACTTATAATTTTTTTCCCTGCTGTATTACTGTGAAAGCCTAGTTATTCATGAGCTGTTGTATTTCACATTTTAGATCTAGGTCCAAAAGAAAAAAAATGAATTTGGTTCCTGTGGCGACCAGAAGATGCCCAGGTCAAGGGAGACGCACAATATTTGAAAGCGGCCAGAAGCTGTATGTCCACAGCCTGGTAGCCGTGAACTTGACAAGAGTGCTCTGTGATGAGGCTGCCGTGTGAGCTGCTGGAGCACATTCTGACCAGCCTTGCTACAGCAGATGCTGCCCTGCAGCCCACGGCAGGACTCATCTGCCATGCATCCACATATGCTCTCAAGTAACCAGTGTCCAGGCGACCCAGAAAAATGGGTCATGGATCGTTTCCTCCACCTGGAGTCTAAGTGGTAGAGATTTCCTGCCTGCTAGATGGCAGGATGCCACAGGTGTCTAAGTTAAGCCACAGCTGTTGCCATGATCCTCCTACAGGAATACACAGGCCATGCTCCACATGGTAACTTTCCACTTCTAACTGGGCTCTAAATGACCCTTACTCTGCGTTGGCCAATTTGGGGTACCCTCTGAAGGACGAGAGCCTCTATTTGTCACTTGTGGTGGCGCTTTGACAAAACGCCTGACAAAAGTCACTTAACAAAGTCTGGCTCACGGTCTAAGGGTACAGTCCATTGTGGTGGGAAGGCCTGCTCACACGGCATCCCAGTCAGAAAGCTGGGAGATGGATGCTGGTGCTCAGTTCACTTCCTCCTTTTCATTCAGACTAGACTCCAGCCCGTAGAATCCCCCAGAACCCAAGTGACAAACATAAAAAATGCAATCCCTGTGCTGGGAGACAGCGAAAGAAAATCCTGAGTTCTCACTGGCCATCCTAGCCATATAATCAGCTCCAGGCCAGAGACAAACCCTATCTCAAAAGAACAGGGTTTCCTGAGGATCAAGACTTCTGACCTTCACACATATGTGAGTGTGCATGCTAGTGAGCACATGTGTCACACACACACACACACACAAAGTCCAGCATCCCTGGGACAAAAGCCTTTGAAAACACATACTTCCCTCCTCCTCTTCTTCCTCCTCATTCTCTTCTTCATCTTTCTCCTCTTTCCCTTTCTTCTACTTACTTTAAGACAGAGTCTCATGTAGCCCAGGCTGGCCTTGAACTCACTGTGTAGCTGATGATGTCCATGAACTCCTGACCCTACTGCTTGCACTTCCCGAGTGCTGGGATAATTTGTGTGAACCGCCATGCCAACCCCTTCTACAGCGGCTGCTTTGCTTTGAGACAGTGTCTCACTCTGTAGCGGAGGCTGGCCCAGAACTTCTTACGTAGCCCAGCTTGCCCCTGAACTCAAATGGGATTACACATGTGAGCCACCATTCCCAGCTAAATAGTAAGTGCATACATATCTAAAAATATTTCAGTAATTGCTTTGTCCCGGTCTTGCTTCTCAGAAGTGGCCATTGCTTACACATTAGTGTGTAGATGTGTGGTGTGTGTGTGTGTGTACATGTTTATGTAGGTGCACTAATAATGCATATGTATATGAAGGCCAGAGATTAACCTAAGCTGCCATTCCTCAGGTGCCATGCACCTTGCTTTTGGGGACAGGGTCTCCAGGTCACCTGGGACTCACCAAGTGGGCCAGGCTGGCTAGTTATCGGGTCCCAGGGATCTACCTGTCCCCAGTACTGGGATTACAAGTGTATGCCACCCTACTGACTTTTCTTGTGACCAGAACCATCCTCCCTAGCCCCCGTTTTGGCTTTCACACAGCATGTTCTGCACACGGCTCTTCCTGCCCTATGACCTGCCTCCTCCGAGACGGCTCTCTGATGGGGCACACATTTCTTCTCCACCGTTTTTCAGCAGCTGCACAGAGCTCCAAAGCACAGAGTACCCATCCCCCGCTCAAGTGTGCAGGCTGTTGGCTGTTTTCTCTCCCCAGTGAGCCCAGCCTCAGAGCCAGCCCCCTGCACACACGTTTGGCACCATGCTTTCCTTTGCTACGCTGAGATCCCTAGACATGGAGAACGTCAGAGTCAGACGGAGGACGCCGTCTCCGAAGCAGGACAGTTGGATATGCTCCCACACCGCAGAGCAGACGATCCAGCAGCGTGGACAGGCCCTGTCCCAGCTTCTCCATCTCATGTACCTTTCTCTTCCTCCCAGGTACAAGGTGACCTGCCAAAGCTCAGAACTGTACAAGGACATCCTGGTGCCATCCTACTACCCCAAGAGCAAGCACTGTGTGTTCCAAGCAGATCTCCTGCTCTTCAGCTGTGCCGGGGCCCACCCCACACACCAGAGGATCTGCCCCTGCCGGGACTTCATCAAGGGCCAAGTGGCCCTGTGCAAAGACTGCCTATAGCACGGCCGCCCTGAATGCATTCCGATGGGAAAGAGGTGGCTCCGCTGGCCAGGGGGCCAAAGTCATTCAGGGACTCTGACCAGAGCCCGAACTCTTTGGTCCAGGGCTTGGATTTGGTACTGCTCCAGCTAGAGTCAGCGCAAACCAGGAGTTTACACCAAAACCGCAAGAGAACCCGAGGTCAGACCGGGGCCTGGCTTCTCCCTGGTGCAACGAATGTCCTCTCTGTCCCGGAAAGTGTCCAGGCAGCTGCTCCTCCGGGGTTATTTTTTTAAAAAAAGAAAGGATAAAGTTGGAGACTCATTCAACTGAAAACAAAACAGAAAGAGGGATTGAGCCGATTGGAAAGAACTTTGGGGACATTCCTAAACCCATTAATTTATTTATTTGGGAGGATGGGGGTAGGGGCGGGAGGGAGAAAAGGGTTGAACAGTTTCCTCTTTATCCCCCACTGTTAGTCACCCACCTTCAGGGTCTCCTTGTTCTGCTGGCATCAGGCAGGATGCGGAGGGGCTGGTGGCATGCTTGAAGGTGGCTGTGGGAGCTTTGCTCCTGGTGGCAGGTGGCAGCACAGAAAAAAAATGTCTTTAAGAGTAGGGATGTGACTCAGCTTGCAGAATGCTTGCTTAGCATGCAGGGAGCCCTGGATTCCATCCCCAGCACCACATAAAACCAGGTGAACGCCTGTAATCACAGGTGAGAAGTAGAGGCAGGAGGATCAAACATTCAAGGTCATCCTTGGCTACATAGCAAAGTCAAGGCCAACCTAGGCTACAAGAGACCCTGTCTCAGAAAATAGATTTTTTTTTTTTTTTGCTTTGAAAACACAGCCAGTCACTGTCGAAGCATTGTCATAGAGCTGAGGAACCTGTGTGTTGCTTGGCAGGTGGCAGCTAAAAGGTGATAACCTTGGTGGGGACATGCCTGTGTGTCCTGAGGGCCCTGCCAAGTGCCAAAGACAGGCTGGGCTGTGCATGAGAGAGGCTGCTTTCCCGTGTGTTCCCTCCCCTCCTACCTACACAGCTTGGTTAGAATTCCATTGTCGAAGAAACACAGGGCTGTGTAATTCTCATTTGCTGCTGTGGTAAACTGGCCCTCCCTCACTGTAAGGAAAGTAAGAACTGAAGACTCCAAGAGCTGCCCTTGAATGTGGGGGGGCAGTTTCTCGAGCTCAAAACAGCTAAGAGTTGGATAAGAAAGGCATCCTAGAGTTAGTAACACAGAGGGGATTCGTACTGTGTCCCCATTGATGTCTGATGTTGCTGAATTCCAGGGAGCAGGGCTCCCCCATGAACTTGATGGTTTCTGGGGAGGTAAGGACGGTTTAGAATGAGGGCTGGGTATTGTCCTGGCTGCTCCCCGGTAGGTGTGGCTTACAGAGGGTGGAAGACTGGAGCTGGGTTTTACTTGAAGCACTGTTCTTGGGAGTCTGAGCAGCCCTGTGGAGAACCTGGCAGCAGGTTGGCCTCATCAAACATGCTGGAGTCCCCACTTTTCACACCCTGGAGCCCTTTCGTGAGTCCATCCCTGCTGAAGTATTGCTTCTGTCTCTGTGTATTTGTGAGTTTCCAGACACACCTCCCACACTTGTCTCCGTGCTGGAGAGGGAGCCCACCCTCTTCTACCTCTTGCTGTAAGCATTGTCCACCCAGCCCAGCTGGTAGAGTAGGCTTCCTGGCTGCTGCTGCCCAGCACCTCCCTGTGGCCGGGTAGAGCCTTGCTGAAACGAGAGAAAGGCCCATGACTGGCTGAGCCCTCCGGAAGCAACAGACAGGAGGATTCAACTTTGTGGCAACCAAGGGGTGGGGAGATGGGGCATGGGGCTTGTAGGTCTGGGAAATCTTAATTTCTACCGGGTGCATATGTCGCACCAATTACACCTCCGGCCTTTTTTTCCCTTAGGCCCTAAGATAGACAGCTCCAAGGACTGAGCTTCTGGTCCTAGAGAATGAAGTGGAGTTGGGAGGTGCTGCCGGGGGCTTGGGGAGGTGATGGCAGGGGGGATCCTATCCTAAACACTGACAGGGGTCCTTCAAGTTAAAAGGCCTAGCCATGTAGCATGTTTCTGAAGGTTTGCAAGGGTGGTTTTCTGCAGCAGGGTAGGAGAGAACTGGCAGACTTACTGTGAGGAAGGACTTTTCCCTGCACCCCAGAATTGTGGGAATCTGCCAGTTTCCAGACCTGAAATTCCTAGGCATCTCCACCAGGAGTCCAAGGAGCTATGCGAGACAGCGCTGGTGTTCAACCAGCAGGGGGTGCTCCAAGCTGAAATGACCCCCACCTGCAGCCGCTGCCTGACCCTGAACGCAGTGCCTCTGCATCTTCCAATTCCTCCTCTCCACCTCAAGACCCGAGTCACACAACACAAAAGAGTTCTTTTTCCCCTGTAATACAGTCCCCTTCTGGTTTTAGACAGAGGCGAGCCTCACTTCCCCTGGTGGGCTCCTGCTCTTGAGGCTAACCAACTGCCTGAACAGGCGGGAGGTCCCCTTAATATACACCAGCTCCCAGACCTTCTCAGAGTTAGCAAGGTGCAGCCAAGTGACCCTCCAGGGGAAACTGGCAGTGGGGGCGGGGGACATTCTGCCCATCAGGTGTGGAAGTCAGCAGGGGAGGAACCCACAGCCTTGGCTGGAAGCCCACCACACTTACATGGCACTGACGACCTTGCAGGAACCTAGGCCTGTGTGTAATTGAACCTCCCCCGGGAGAGAAACCTGAAATCAGGACTTGCGTTTTCCTGCCCCGTCATCAGATCCCAGCAGGTCTTTGGAGTTGTTTTCCCCTTTGTGATGTTAGACCCCTAAACCGGGGGAGCCCTGCTAAGAGAGAGAATGTATTTCTTCAGAAGGTGAGGGGGCGGGGCCTCGCTGGATCCCAGGCCACACCTGAGCATTTCTGAATGCTGTCTGGTTTCCTGTACAAATGGAAACCCTGTGACTGTTTGGGAGTTTTGTTTTGTCTGTGAGGCGAATCATTTGTTGTAGGTGTCTGGTGAGTGTTTGGAAATGTTTGTCTGTCTCATGGGTGGCACATGTCTTCCTGACATGTCTGTTCATTCCTCTTTGGGGTTGGACTTTGAAGGCTGGGTGCTGTCCAAGGCAGGTTGTTCCGGCCTGGAATAACCAACCACGTGTCCACAGTATGTGTGCCCGCACATGACTATTTATGTTCCCGGTGCATGTGTGCACATAAGACTACGTTTGGTGTGTGTGCATGTGTGTGTTTGTATATGTTCCTGGTGTGTGGTGTATGTACGCGTACCCCCAGAGTAGGACTGAGGGTGCCAAGAATCCTTTAGCTGGCATCCCCAGGACCAGACCCTATCTCTTGACTCTTAGGATGGCCGACGTAGTGAAGGGCTTGGTTCCCCAGTCACCCTGGCTGACATGTTGCTGAGGCAGAAAACCAGCCTTAAGGCCATCTATGTAGAAGCAGCAGCCCCCAAGCACTTCAGCTAGTTAGCATGCTGGGGGTGAGCGGAGTCCCCTTGCTGTTTTCCCTTAGTGAATGGATGTGGGCGTGGCTGCAGAACCGCCCGCTGGTGATAGTCTGGCAGTGAGCTGGGTTGCACTGAAACTGTGTGCTGCTTATAGATGACTGTGTGTGCTTTGACTTGGACCAGGGTGCTTTACCTAGACTGTGTGTAATTAGGCACCTCCACCCTCTCCCAAACCTCTTGATGGAAAACGAAAAGCCAAGTGTTTTGTTAACGGCAGGCTCTGCTGTGTGTGTGTTACTTGCTATTCCAAGCCTGGACTGGTTTATTTATTTAAAACTATTTTAATTTCTTTATTGGCTTTATTCTTATCCCGTCTGTCCCTGTGTGGCTGCAGAGTGTGTCTTTGTTCGAGTAGACGGATGGCAGAAATAGGTTTATAGTCATTTAGGAAGCTCGCAGCTTGGAGCCTGGGAGGGGCTCCCTTCATTCCTGTTGCCTTCCACAGAAAGTGCAAAGTCAAGTCAAGTTCTTTTTCAGTTTGGATTTTGTTTTTTGACATATAGCAAAAGACCAAATTAGCTGTATAGCCTTGGATACAGAAAATAAGAATTACTCTAGTTCTAGCATTTAGGGTTCTGTGAGATCCCACGTTTAGCACAGTGCCCGGCTCGTAGAAAGCCTGGCGAATGTTCAATATTGATATTAGTAGTATATCATAAAACTTGAGAAATAAAGAGCTGGGCTCACCCCCATCTGTTGATTCAAACATGATGGTCACATAAAAATCTTGTTGAGTAGATCAGATGGTAGAGGAATTAATTGTTCCAATGTGTAAGCTCTGTGCCTACCCTGCTCACTGGAATTCTAGTGTTTTCTTCAATACTCTGATTGGAAAGTATGCCAGTCTTCTTCAGCACTCCGTGAAACAAGACTGAAAGAATGTTATTAAGTGAAGTTGAACCCACCAGTATGTTCTGGAACATTCCAGGGGTTTCTTTGGGGAACTTTTTGAGCTCAAAATTAAAAGTTCTCTCACAAGCTGCACTCCTTGAATTAGAGTTTAATTTTTATTCCTCTATAATGCAATAATAGAATCTTCAATTTGTTTAAGGGGAAGAGTGAAGAACTAAATTTACAGTTCCCGGGGAAACCCTTTGCTGCCCCCTGCTGGACAGGATGGCGCCTAGCAGGTTGGTTACCTCTGCCACGTTCCCATCCTACCCAAGATTAATCCCATGACCTGGTCCTTAAAAAAAATTTTTAAAAATCCACCACCACCCCCAAAGGAGCCACATGAGGCCCTATGACGTCAGGGATTTTGATTTCTTTCAAAACTGGACCCAAAACTGAAACCCAGAGGTCACTTGAATACCAGTTTGCTGTTTATCTTTTGCCAATCTGGCCTCTTCCCTGGTAGAGCATCTCTGTGTGGACTGCAGATGCGGAACCGAGAGGAAAATTTCCTGGAGTCCAGTGTGCTTTTCCAACTCCTCTCTCAGCCGGTTGATGGTTTTACAGCTTAGAGGGATGAGCTGATTGAATTCATCTTTTCCAGAGCTCCATTCTGCCCCAGATCTTGTCACTTAAGGCTGTTCTCTTCCCACCCTGACGCTCACTCTCCACCCCTACAGCTGGGACGCATTGCTGATGTGGTGGGTAGTTTCCTGTGGAAACCAGCGTGGGTAGGAGGTACACCGGGGGCATTGCTGGACGGCCGCCAGGAGCGTGAGCACTGCAGCCCATGGAAGCTGCAACAGCAGGCATGGGCAAGCACCTTTTTTGGGGGGAGCTTGCGCCCGGCCCAGGTACTAAGGAAAATAACGTAACCACAATGCCAAAGGACATGGTGACGTCCCTTCCACTGTGGTCGCTGTCACAGCCTTGATGTTAAGCTCATGGTCACTCACGTCTGTGTCTTGAAATGGATCCTGGTGCACTTGTTCCTGCTGTCACAGGACCCTGCAAATGAGGTGTCACTGTCCCTGACCTACTGTGCCAGGCACAAAGAACACTGCTTTGTTTTCCCGTGTTGTAGAGAAACTAGGGAGAACTTTATTTTTCAATAAACTTTTCTTGTGCGACAGGTGGTAGTGATTTTGGGGTGCCAACACACTGTCAGAGTTGTGTTCAAGTAGCAGCTGGGCAGGGACTAGGGCATTAACACATAGCTGAGTTCACAGGGCGCTTGCTAGGCAAGTGTGAGATCCCCGCCCCAACCCTCAGAATGCACTCTTTAAAATGGCAGGCAGGATGGTGCACGCTTGAAACCCCAGTTCTAGGGAGGAGCCAACATGGTTGACATGCATAGAAAACCTATGACTTGGGGCTGGGGAAATAAAATGCTTGCCGGGCATGCACAAGGACCAGCGTTTGATTCCCAGGAACCCACCATGTAAAAAGCCAACTGTGCTGCACACGTGTGATCCCAGCTCTGGAGATGTGAAAACAGGCGTATCCTCGGGGCTCACTACTCAGCCAGCCCAACCAAACTCAGCAAATTCCAGACTAGAGACACCAGCTCATAGAACAAGGCGCACAGCATCCTGAGAAGCTACAGGCGAAATTGACTTCTGGCCTCCATGTGAAAGCACAGAGCACCTGCATTCACCTGAAAGAGAGGAAGCAGCCCAGAGCCAGATATCTGTGGGCCATGAGAGTTGCCCAGGGATCTCAGTCAACAGACGACAGCTGGCTAGGCGTGCACAAAGCCCCGGGTTTGAGTCCCAACGCCATGTAAATTGACACGGTGGAGCACACCTGCAATCCCAGCACCCAGGAAGTGGAGGCAGGAGGGTCGGGGGTTCTCAAGGAAACCCTCTGAAATTAGGCGCCCTCCTGGGTAATTCTCACAGGACCAAGACACCATGAAAATTCAGAACCTTGTGAGGCTCAACTCCCTGAAGGAAGGGTGCAGGCAAGTTTATGGAACCTGCATCCCCCAGGCAAAGTGGGAGACCCCTCAGTGTCCTCTGGGACAGTTGGACTGGGCTTCCTGGCTACAATTACATGTCACCTATTCAAAGTTCTTAGGTCAGAAAGGTTCTGGAAAGCTTGAGGGATGGCTCAGTAGCTAGGAGCACTTGCTGTGCAAGCATGAGGATCTGAGTTCAAATCCCCAACACACAAGCCAGGCATGACCACATCTGCCTGTAACCCCAGAACTGTATGAAGCAGAGCCAGGAGAATCTCTCGGGGCTTTCCGGCCAGCCTAGCTCCAGGTTTAGGGAGAGCTCTGGTCCCCAGAGAACGAGAGAGTGATGGAGGAAAACACACACACAGAGTAAACAGTGTTTCTGATCTTGGGACATTCTGGACTTTGGAACCTTTGTCACCAAGTTAGCTTTGAGATGAGACCCAAAACTGAACAGGAAACTCGGTTATACTTCTAATGTGCCCCATACTCATGGTCTAAAGATCATTCCGTACCTTAGGGTCTGTGTTTTCTCTACAGCTTATCCCACAAGGTCAAGTGTATTCTTTTCTGTTGGTGCCACCATGTTGGTGCACATTTCTTGAGCATTTGGATTTCAGATTTGGGGATTCTGGGCGATGAGCCTGTGCCTTCCCTATGGCAGCACCGAGTGAAATAAGACATCAAAGCCTGGAGACTTGCAACCCCTCTGCCCACACAATATCTGCCTCTGGGAGTCTCCAGCAGAACCCCTGTAACAGTGTGATCGGTTGGGGTGACTACAGATCCCACATCAAGACAGACCAAGGTGTTGCTGTCACTGTCACCAGGTACCAGCCATCCCTGCCTTGTCCACCTCCATCCACAGCAGAAAGCCTACCTGCGAGAGGTGGGAAATGACTCAGAGGGGAAAGCCTTTGCAGTGTGAACATGAGGACCTGACTGTACAGACCACCCACATAAGAGCCACCTATGGTGGCATGCACCTGTGTCCCCAGGACTGGAAAGGCAAGGTAGGTTCCTGGGACTCACAATCTAGTCATTCCAGCTGAATCAGCAAGCTCTGGGTTTGGTGAGAGATTTTCTTAAAGAAAAACTATATAAATGAAAAGATGGGCTGGCAAGATCTTTTAGCAGGCAGGTAGAAGCTTACACAGAGGTCTGGCATTCTACCAATCCCAGGATCCCACGAAATGGCAGGAGAGAACCAGCTCCTAAAATCAGGCCTCTAACCACGTGAGTGCCGTGGCATGAGTGTGCCTCTGTGTATGCATGTGCCCCTGAAATTCAATTAAAGAAGAGATAATAGAGGGAGATACCCAAAGTCAACCTTGTCCTCCACATGTGAACACACAGAGGAAAGAGCACACACACACACACACACACGCACACACACGCACACGCATGCACACACATACGCACGCACACCACAGAGAGAGTGCCAATCCACCATGGATATTCCCTTACATGTTGATACTCACACTAACAGCTCCCACATACAGTCTCCTCATCCCATACAAATGGTAAAGGTCTTTATTGGCCTGACATGACCGCCCATGTGGGCAGTACCGTGAGAGCTACAGAACGTGGTGGGATGGGGACATGTCTACAGCACTTACACCTGTTACATCAGCTGAGGACATCTTGGTCCTGTGGAGGAGTGACCGGTCTACTTCTCACAGACTCTGAGGCACCATGACCACTGAGCACAACATACAGATATATATATATATATATATATATATTTGGGTAATGATTATAATTATTTATTACAAATAAATGTATAGAGTTTCACATCTCTCAAAAATGGTTCCTGGGTTCTCATGGATGTGGAAGAAAGGACTGTGTGCTTACATACCCTGTCCATGCAAAGCTCATAGGTCACTAAACACTTTAAAAAATAGAATGGTCTCCTTCTGAACAAATCTGTTTAGTGTCACGATTAGTAAAAGTGTATGAAACGAGTTGATAGACGTTAGGAAGGAATTTGCGGATGGGGTACGCTAGGAGACAGGAGTGTGACTCTGGAGGTGGTTTTGGCCCATGTGTGTTGGGAGGAGGCAACCCGGTCAGTTACTATCTGGTTTTTGGCTGCCAGTGAGTGCCACAAGTGGCTTCCTGTCAAGCATAGACCCTAGCCTGCTTTCAAAAACTGTTTGATTCCAGGAAATAGAAAATGTCACTTCCGGCTCAAGGTTGGGAAGCGTGGCAGCCCCTCCCATGGGCAACACATGTGTTTGATAGTGGACAACGGGGTGAGGGTGTAGGGCAGGTCCAGCCTCCAGGCAGACCTCATCCCATGATGACAGACTCTATGAACAAAAACTTCCCCAAATGAAGCTGGATGTGCAGTTAAATATTGGCACCATCTGCCTTCGTGGAAACCTCTTATCACCATGGTGACGCTCTTCGCTGGGGCCATCCCTGCAGCCCCTCCAACCACCTTCACTCAAACATTTCATAGTGGCGCGTCTGTCTCACTCTGGGCACCATGTCGACGAGGAGCCTGCAGAAATGAAGACAGACAAGAGACAGACAGGGTCACCTCAACGCCAGGGCAGCTTGGGGGAAACTGAGGTTATTTGTGTATGTGCGTCTGTAAATAAGCCCGATAACATGCACTAAGCTACACGTGGGTGGAACCATTGCTTTTGTCCATCTTTGGTGCCCTATTTGGGGAGAAGAGATATTCATTCACATTTCCCCAGGAAAAGCAAATACAGCACCCATGTTCCTGAGACATAAGGGAATAAGACACGAGACCCTTCTTTCCTGTCCTGGCTGGAGAAAGGGGTGGGAGGAAGAAGGGGGATCAGAGATAAAAACTGAGCCATACTTGACCCCATAGGCAAAGATGGTGAGGCCGATCAGGACACCGATGCTGCCGTCCAGGTACCAGACTCTCGCATTGTGTTTGAACACCTCCGCACTCAGAAGGATGGAGAAGCCCATCACTCCCCCAACAAGGGAGTTGAACCCTGCAAAAGAAGAGAGATCAAGCACTGATCAGAAGTGGACATTTCAGTCTATACTATCAAGTCTATTGGCTACAGTTGAACATAACAGGCTTCATTCTATAGAAGGGATCTGTACATACACACTACTAATGGTTTGCCTGTTCTGAATTAACCTTCCATCTAGATGCCATCCAAACAGCTAGCTCAGAAGGATTTCAAGGCTCGGTGGTCTTAATGTGGAGGAACCCTCACACACTACCCAGAGAGGGGGAAAATGATGAAGGGAAAACAGCCCAGGGGGTAAGACTAAATGAGTTCCTGCCTGCCCCTGCTCCTCTCCCTGTACAGTTTGCCTGCTGGGGATGAGATGGAAGTCACGTCTCTAGGCTGTGAATCAGTCTTCTCAGACCGCATGTTGTCTGAATAGAACAGTTTAGAGAGTTATTTCCATGGGTTAGGCAGGTGGCTCTGATGGTATTCATCCTCTACATTGATGCCAAGCCGGACACGGTGGCATCGGTCCAGGAGTCTGTGATGTCAGCATTCCTGCAGCAAGATGGAGACAGCTAATGAAGCCTGGAAGCTGGCTGGCAAACAAGAGACACTGTTCCAAATAAGGTGACAGGCGAGGGCCAACACCTAATACTGTCCTCTGACCTCTACAGGCATGCCCGGCACACACAAGCACTCACACATGCGAAGGGGTGTGTGTGTGTGTGTACACATGGGTGGTAGATTTTAAAAACTATAAATCAGAAAACACTTACATTTGTAGTCACACCCAAACTCTGCACGCACACACACACACACACACACACACACACACACACACACACACACACCAGTGTCAACCATTCTAATTCCCCCACGGGGCCCTTGAATTTACCAGAAGCCCTCCTTGTTTGGGCATTCCCTTCCAGCAGGAGACTCAGTGCCCACATGCACCCTCTCTATGCTCTGTCCCACATACCCCCTCATCCTCCTCACAGCTCTTTCCTCCCTAGCATGATAGTGCTTCCATTTTTATTTTACTGTCTTCCACTAGAAAATTAAGCAGGGGGACAGAAGTTTTGCCCCTTTCCTTGCTGTCTCCCATATCCCAGAACAGGGTACCGATGTTGCTGCAGTAATTAGTAAATGGCCATGAAAGGGGGCGAGGAAAGGAGGGTGTGAGGCATGACCTTATCTCCTCCATCCTCCATCCCGGGGTGGGGCACACCTTGCGGCCTGGTTCACAGAAAGTGAGGAGCAGAAGTTCCCCAGCCAGCCACTAGATGTCGACATAGCTCCACTGAGCCAGTGCTCACCAGTCAGCACCACGGACAGCTGTCCCAAGCCGCCCAAAAGAGGAGAATGCAACTCCTTAACTTAAGGCTTCCAGGAGGTGAGCTCTGTTTGTAATGACATAGCCTGATTCTGAGTGGCTTCTCTTTCACAAACTCGGGGACTAGGGACTGATTCCAGGGATCACCGCCCCCCCCCCCGTGTGTGTGTGTGTGTGTGTGTGTGTGTGTGTGTGTGTGTGTGTGTGTGTGTCTGTGTGTGTGTCTGTGTGTGTTTGTGTGTGTGTCTGTGTGTGTGTGTCTATGTGTCTGTGTGTGTGTGTCTATGTGTCTGTGTGTCTGTTTTTTGACTCAGTCACATAACCTGAAGCTAGCTAGGCTGCCTAGCCTGCCCCTGCCCCTGCCCCTGCCCCTGCTCCTACTCCTGCTCCTGCCCCTACTCCTGCCCCTGCCTGCCAAGACTAGGATCACAGGGCCCTGAAAGTGCCTCTCACCCACACACCAATCACTGGTAGTCACTAACCACACCCAGGTTGTGCCCTCACTTCTAACTTCAGAGATGTTCTACAGAATAAATCCTGTAGCTGGCTTGACAGCACAGAATAGTTGGGGTCATGCTGACTGGAGATACCACTGGCCTGACTTTAGTGACTAGATTGGAATCTGCATAATGAATCAGTCTGTGAAATCATTAATTCCATGCAGAACAGTCTGATAGGGATTTTCATAGAGGTTCTGGGTATTTTCAAGTTGGAAGGGAATGAGACACCTGCCCCCTCTTCTCAGAGGGTTCCCGGATTCCCCCAGACTGCCAGCCCTTACTTGAAACTGTCCCAGGGGACCTCTCGCACAGCTGTCTTACTTCTATTACTCATTTGTGCTCAGGGCTGTCTTACTCACCAAGAACCACCTGGAACTGCTCCGACTTCCCGAGTGCTGGGATTACAGTGTGCACCAACACACCCTGTTTATTAGGTGCTGAGAATGGAACCCAGATCTTCACTGGTATAAGCAAGCACTCTACCACACAGCTACATTCCTGGCTCCACCATCATCCTGAGGGCATGCTTATATGCTTACTGAATATCTGAATATCTACTGCAACAAAAAAGCCAGGCCAAGACCTATCAAGATGCGTGAAGAAGACACCTGCCATTCACACACACACACACACACACACATCCCACCATCCATCAGCTAACGTCCCCTTTCCCTGAAGACTTGCTTCTTGGCTGAAAAGACACTTGCTTTTCGTACGTACGCACACACACACACACACACACACACACACACACACACACACACAAAGGACCTGGCCAGCTGAGCCAGTGGGGCCCAGCTCCCATGGGGCTCCAGTCCGGAATGCATCAACATCATGGGAACAAATCAGGGCTGTCCAGTCTATAGGGTAATGTTGCTTCCGGTCTCTTTTGGGAGAGAAGGTTCTTGGCTCTGCCTCAATCAGGAACAGCCCCAGGGCATGCACCAAAGTGAGGCAAGACAGAAATGCATGAGAAGACAGAAAAACCTCTCCCCCGGGCACCTGGCTAAGGCCTCACACCAGCAGAAAGGCAAGGATCTCCTAGAAATTGACAGATGCTTAAGGCTACTCTCCCTTCTTAGCCACAAACCTAAAATTTCTTGGGACTCTCATCAAAAATCCCATTTTTAGAGAAAAGACATGAACTAAACCCCTTGTGTCACCTCATGGCTCCCAGTTTCACCTTATCAAGATATAGTCCCATCCAAGGTATCTCCAGAGAGACAGAAAAGAGAGAGGTGAGACTCCAGCGGTCTATATAGCTATTACTCCGACAGCTAATTATTTACTGTCCCTTGAGGAGTTCACACCTGCCCTGGAGTACATCTTACTTCCCGTATTCTCCCCTGAAAAGCACCCCTCATGTGGCCGTGTCTACTGTCTTCTGAGCATCTCCATGGAAGCCCATATTCAATATCTTTAATAAGCCCAGCAACTCCGATTTACACCAGCTAGTTCTGAAATTCTTTTCAGTGTGAAAGCCAGCAATTCCAGGTGGCCAGAATCAAAGTCCCTAAAAGTCTAAGGGAATGCCTCAGGTTACTGAGAGTGGCAGAATGGAGCTGTGTATCTGTCTTCTTGTCACAGACAAATGAACCCCCTCAGTAAGGATAGTCAGAGCTCCTCTACCCTGACCCCACCCTCCTTCCAAAGGGAGAGCAAAGAGTTGTAGGTAGCTCCCGAAGTCTGACAATGAATGGCTGGAGCTCAGATTCCAGACTGCACAATGAGGAGAAGGCTATAGTTACTATAGCTCCTTTTGCCTAGGACACCCCCTCCTAGGAGACGGGGCTACTCCCATTATTCATGGTGAGTCATCCTCTCTAGCTATTCCTTGTGGTCAACTCCTTGGCTCCCCAGAACTCTCTTCCCACTCCAGTGGCCAGCTCCCTCCCTTCTGTTCCCCACACAAGACTCCCAGAGGGCCTCAGAACACATTAGTCACGTCTCCCAACTATATAAATATGTGATACAATAGCCACTGTTCTGTCCTTGGAATCTGTCCCTGCCAACTTCCAGAGCCCCTTTCCTCTGGCAGAAATCCCTTTTACCAGGAAGAAGCCAGTCAGCATTCGTCTGTTGGAGAACACTTTCACTCCTCCTACTGACTTTTCTTTGGAGTTCACCCTTCCGGTTTGAACACAGTGGACGCGTTTGCTTAGGTGTGAACACTTGTGTGGGTAGAAAACCAAACTCAGAGGGAGATGGTTCAGTAAATGAGGACTTGAGGGAGATGGCTCAGTAAATGAGGACTTCAGGGAGATGGCTCAGTAAATGAGGACTTGAGTTCTGTTCCCCAGAATCCATGTAAAGCAAAACAGAACAAAAAGCCAGGCATAGTGGCATGCATGTGTTAGCCCAGTTCTGTGGAGGGAGAGATAGGTGGATTCCTGGGACTCGCTAGCCAGCCAGTATGGTCTACTCACAAACCAAGGAAGACAGTAACTAAGGAACAATGACCATGACTGCCCTGTGGCTTCTACATGCATGTGCAACACAGCAAGATACTAAGTACAGTAGTGGGAAGTTGGAATTTCAGTGAAGCCTAAGCACAGATCTGAGTCTGGAATGGCTCTGAGGTTAAGGGGAAACCACTCACACTGTGCAGGGCCCCTCAGTCCAGCGAGATGAGATCATGCTCTATGACAGTGTTGTCAACTTGACACAGGCTAGCATCAAGGGGCGAGAGAGTCTCAATTAGGGGTTGTCTGGATCAGGCTAGCCTGTGGGTTTGTGGAGAATTGTGCCTATTAACTTAATTGTTGTGGGAATAATGCCTGAAGGGGGCGGTACCATTCCCTGGACTTGGGCACAGGGCTACAGAAGAGTGGAGAAGCTAGCTGTCACTAACTATGGTGCATGCATTCATCCTCTCTGTCCTTGACTGTAGATGTGACGTGATGAACTTCCTCAAAGCCCTGCCTTGAGTTCCCTGAAATGATAGACTGTGACCTGGAAGTACCAGCCAAATAAACTCCTTCTCCCCGTCAGGATATTTCATCCCAGCCATGGGCGGTCTTCATGGTCATGGGCAGGTCTGGGGGATGACTCTGACCCTCTGTCCACACCCAGGCTTCAGCCTTCAGTCTTCATCACAGAGGAGGCTGGGACAGCAGAAGGCATACAGACACCAGGTCTCTGCAAGCCAGTGGAGACTGGGGGATGGTATGTCACCTTGGAAATGACCATGGGACTGCCCAGGCTGTCCTCATCCTAGGAGCTCAGCAGGCTGTCGTGACTACTCTGTGACCGACCCCAGGTGCCAGGTGGTGAAACACGGATGAGGGGGGCACAGAACCCATGGCTAAGAGAGACCAAGGCCCTACCGGCTCTGTTTTCTTCTGCTTTAAGAATCTGGGCCACAGCTATCTCCCTCAGAGAAAAACTCAGGTTGACTGGTGTTTTGTTTGGTTTGTAGGCAGGCTCTCATGTAGCCTGTGTTGGCCTTGGACTTATTATGAAGCCAAGGGTAACCTTGAACTTATGGTCCCCCTGCCTCCACGTCTCTAGTGCTGGGATGGGAGGGGTGCACCACTACACCCAGATGATACCCTACTGAGGCTCAAACCCCAAGCCTTGTGCATGCTAGGCAAGCACTCTATAAGCTGGGTTATGTCCCTACCTCTATTTCTTTCCCTAATAAAATAAAAGGCCAGGTATGATGGTACACACCCATAATCCCAATGCATAGGAGGCTAAGACAGGACAAAGGAAAGTCCAAGGCCAGTCTGAGCTACTTACAAAAGTCTGTCTCAGGAAGCCGAAAGAAAGCCAATCACTTCTGCTGGTTTATGTTATTAAACCTGCTTAGGTGTGAGAGCTCCAAGAACCATGAAGTAAGCAGTTTGGGGGACAGCGCTGGTGATAAATGGATCCCTCAGCAGTTGAATTCATTTGCAAGACCAGAATCTACCAGACATCTATCCAGAAGAGCACCTCCCCCAGCTCAGTACTCAGCCATCAGCCAAGGTACACCTGCGCCACTCACCATCTGTGATGAGAGCTCTGCTCGTCAGGACCTTCCCCAGCATAAACTTCAACACAGCCAGGACACTGCAAAGGATCCCACTTAAAATGGAGACGCTGAACAGGAAATCGTCCTAGAAGAGAACATTCCAGATGTTGACATGTCATCTCTTGCTAGAGCAATCATCTTCACCACCAGCCTTGTGCAAGGCACAAGGAACCGGTCAGACACGCTGCCACCGGGTGGCAGCATAGTGCGGGTGGTCACCTGTGTGATGGGAGTTGAGAAAAGATTATTAAAGAGCCAGACTAATATTTGAAAAGCCATTGTGTATTGCCTCCCTTCTTGTTATTCCGCTACAACACAAAGCAGTCATTGATTGTCAACAGGGTTGGTCATAATGCCAAGAATGATGCCTACGCAGTATTCTACAGAAAATTCACAAAGCAGGTAATTGAGAGTTTGGAGGCCACGTCACTAAAACCTTTCTCACAGAACCAACTGGTTTAGCCACAGGATCTTAAAACCCTATTTTTCTTCCATTCACACAATTGAGATTTCAAAGATAGTCTTCAAGGTGGGAAAAAGTGGTGCCTAAAAATAGTCCACTGTTGGCGTGATGTTAACACTTCCTTGAGGCGCTGCATTAACGTTTGCAAGCAAATGGGTGAGTCACGTGCCAGGCTGGCGTCTCCATTGCTCTCTCCTGACATCAGGCCCCCTGAGATCCCCTCTGAGCTCCCACACGCTGCTCCCCTGAGACACAGCCTCCAGGTTTGCCCAGATTAAAACGCAACTGCCTGCAGAAATTCAACACGGTAGCAGACACCCACAGAGAAATAGGATACTCCTTAAGCATCTTATTAATAAATTCGCTCTCCTAGTGACAGACGCAGGGACAAAGGAAACAGCTTGGTTTGCCAGGCTGGAAACTACATCATTTCTAAAATCTACCTCTCTGGACTTGGGGTTTCTGTATAACATTAAAGCATCTTCCCCCAAAACACCCACCATTGGCAGAAGCAGATCTGACAGTGTGTGCGCACAGAGTCTTGTCCACTCTTTCTTCTAGGAAGACCAGTTTCCCCACGGTCACCAGCTCTCCTTGAACCTGGCTGGATTTAGAGCCTCAAAACTAGCAAATCCAGCATAGGAGAGGGTAAACGGAGGCAGCTGAGATGGCTGGGTGGGTGAAGATGCTTGCTGCCGGTCCTGCGGACATGAGCTCACTCCCTGGTACCCACGTGCTGTGGCAAGTGTACACACACTGAATTTAAAATGTATTAAAAATTAAAGAAATGGGGAAATGGTCACATTAGAGGGTTTAAACCCACCGGACTCCACCTAGCCAAGCAATGAAGGATAACGTAAGCTGTGATGCCACATGTCCGGTGAGGGCATGGGACTGTGCCTCCATTGCGACTCACTCCCAAATCCATGAACTCCACTTGTGAAGACTGTCAAGCAGTCCCAAACTAAAATACAGCTTAGAAAATACCAATATCTGACCTTCATTCTACATACATCAAGGTCTCTAGAGGCAAGGGTGCATCTGGAACCTGTCACCAACTGAAGACTGGGGAGGTAAGGTAATTAAATATAGCATGGCATTTGAGGATAGGTTCAGGAAAAAAGCATCACTGGCAATCTAAACTGAGTCCATAGCTTTGTCTATAGTGCCATGGCCCACTGTGAGGATGGACGGGTTGTGAGCTACTAACGTGGGGAAACTGAATGGAGGAGCTGAACCCCCTGCGCATAGTAAGACTCTTCGAGAATCTGAAGCATCCTGAGGTAGGGGAGGTGTCCCAGCTGGTGAAGTGGTAAACCCTTAGGTGTAAGGGTCTCAGTCTGATCTCCAGAACCAACATAAAACAAGTCAGGTGTGGTGCCATCCCAGAGCTGGGCCTCATGGGTCAGCCAGATTGATCTAATTAACAGGCCCAAACCAGTGAGAGACCCTGTATGGGAAGACATGGTGGATGGTTCCTGCGAAGTAAGATCCTGGTCTCTCTACACACACACACACACACACACACACACACACACACACACACACACACACACACAGAGACACACGCACACAGACACCCCACATGTGTACACCTGCACACATAGGAATGAAAAAAAACATACAAACCTACATATACTTACACCAAACACTGACCTAAATCATTTTCAAACTTAAGATTCTTTTCAAGGAATCAACCTCACAGAACTGTCGCCTCTGAATACTTGTCCACATGAGGACACAGAGAAGTCAGTCCTCTTTGAACCAGGAAACAGAGCCTCATGAGACACCAAAGCTTTTGCCCAGTAACTTGATCTTTGGATTTCCAACCCCAGAAGCATGAGCAGTGAATTTCCATTGTTGGTAAGCCACCTAGGATGATTAGTCGCAGGCCAAGGTTCCTCAATAAAGACCCACAGCATTCTCAGGAGCTGTCATCACCTGTACGAGATTGGGCCCATCAACAGTCTGCCACAGAAAGAAGGGTCTAATCATGAGACTCTGCATGGAGGGTAACAAAATCTAAATAACCCCTCAGGTATGCCTGACAGATTGTCTCCAATGAGATTCTAGATCAGAGGTTCTCAACCTGTGGGTAGTGACCCCCTTTGGGGTCGAAGGGGTCACCTAAGATATTTGCATTATGATTCACAACAGTAGAAAAATTATAGTTATGAAGTAGCAAGGAAATGAACTTTATGTCTGTGGGCCACAGCATTGGGAACATTGAGAGTCACTGTTCTAGCTACTGCCAAGGTGATAATCAACATTACCACCACATACAGGAGTAGTGGCCCTCTTAGGAAGAGACCTGAGAAAATTCCCTTGTGTGGGGACAAGACAAGAAGATACCATCTATCTGCTGGAGTCTTGCCCTTGGCCTTCCCCACCTCCAGAACTACGAGAAACAAGCATTGCTTGTAGGCTGAGCCCCGAGTCCACAGTACTCTGTGGATGTGGCCCAAATGGTCTAAGACAGTGTCTGTGCCCTTTAGCTGTTTGCGGCTTTGGTTTTGTTGTTTGTTTTGTTCTACATGTATGGGTACTTTTCCTGTATGTATATCTGTATACCATGCGTGTGCCTAGTGCCTGCAGAGTCCAGAGAAGGCATCGGATCCCCTGGAACTGGAGTTATAGATGGTTGTGAGTCACTACATAGGTGTTAGGTGACTGAATCCAAGTCCTCTGGAAGAGCTGCCAGGGCTATTAACCACTGAACCATTTCCCTAGCCTTTGTGCTGATCCAATTTATTGTCCACATGATACAACCCAGAGTCACCAGGGAAGAGCAAACCTCAACTGAGAAATTGCCCAGGTCAGATTGGTGTGTGTGTGTGTGTGTGTGTGTGTGTGTGTGTGTGTGTGTGTGTGTAGGGAGACAGGGAAGAGAGGGATAGGGGAGAGGAAGAGAAAGAGAGAAGCAGCATAGCCAAGAGAGCTTTCTTCCACGGTTCCTGCTTGAGTTCCTCCCTTGACTTCCCTCAATGGTGGACTGTGGTTGACCCAGAAGGATAAGCCAATAGACCCTTTTGTCCCCTAAGTGGCTTTTTGTCACAGTGTTTTATCAGAGCAACAGAAATCAAACTAGGACAGTACCTGACCCATGCTGAAGGACACCTTACAAGAATCCACCTCCTCTGCCCTCAAATGTCTCTTGCTTTCCACATGACGGTGACGGTGGCTGTTGATCAGTCCACGTGAGTGGTGTGTCTGTGTGAAGAGCTAATAATGGACAGGCTCTAATTTTCTAGTTTCATGGGTCCCAAAGTGTGAAAAACAACACCTTAACTTGGCAGAACAAACAGCTGGAAGAGGAATCCAAGAACTTGGCAGATTCTAGCTGCCGAAAGCGTGTTTCGGCTGGATGGTAGCTCAGTCTGGACTGTGCCCCCTTGCAAGCAGGAAGACCTGGGTTTCCACCCCATGGCCCCCACAAAAAAGCTGGGCATTGGGGTATGCACTCATAATCACAGGGATCACTCTGCTTTGGTCTCTTGGAATTGCAGGCATGAACTACCATGTGCAGCTTCCCTGGAATTTTTTTAATAATAATTTTCTCAAACACATTGGTTCATATTTAAAATCAACTTGAATTAAAAATGAATGAAATTGCAAACCCAGCTCCTCAACTGCCCGGTCACAATGCAACATGTCTAATTTGGCTGTTGCTTGTTATTCCACCGAAGATATTGTAAACATACCCAGAACACACACCACACACACACACACACACACACACACACACACACCACACACATATACAACACCCACACCCCCCCACACACATACATACCACACACCATACACACTACACATACATCTCACACACACACACCACACCACATACACACACATGCATGCACACCACACACACACACACACACACACACACACACACACACATGCACGCACAGTGACCAGGCCATCAGTGGCCATCTGCACTTGTATAAGACTGAAAACCCAGTAGCTGCTCAGTCCTCAGCAGTCCCAGTCTGGTGCTGCGGGCCTCCTGGGGGACTCCTAAGAGCGCATGGTCTTCAGTCTACTTTGGGAAGCTGGGTTCTGAGAGTGGGGAAGCCAGGTGGCAGTGGTGACAATGGCATAGATGCACTTAACAGCAGCAAGTGACGGCAGGGAGGCAGCACCACCATTCTGAGGGACGTCGTCCATCTCGGTTAAGAGTCTCCCTCACAGTCCTGCCCGAAGGTCAGTTCCAGATACAATTGAGATTAACCCTCCCAGGGTCTAGCACTGTTCCTTTATTTAGGAGACAAGGAGCAAAGGTCAGAGAGAAAAGAGCAGAGGTGGGGCTTGGCATCGCCGCCTCCATCAGGAGTGACAACAGGCTCTTAGAAGGTCGGTCCAGTGAACCTGGCCATTAGGATGCTCCATGCAATTCTGCCTCTTCCCCCCTCTCTCACCACGCCACTCACCCAATATCCCACCATCAACACGGTAAGGACACCTGATTGCATCTTCTCATGATTCTCATCTTCATTCATGTATTTTCACACATCATCAAGGATGGCCAGCCTTTTGACATTCAACACTATTTGTCATCTGCGAAGTTCAGAGTTTTGTGTTGGGTCACATTCGTAGCTATCCTGGGGCACAGGTGTCCC